CTCTCTTCTGCAAACTGTGCAGCTGGGGCAACTGCTGTTGTTTGGGATGAGTAGAATTAGAACATTCATAACTTGACACTCCTGGGCCCCAGAGATTCTAGGGAAACCTGTACTGCTTCTCAGCTCCCATCAGTCTTCTCTCTCCAGATGTCGGCTGTCTTCCTCAGATAGCCTCCTGCATGGAAAAGTATCTTCTGGATTGCTATTACATCTCTTTTTTTCTTCATTCACCATGCTCATAACAATCAAATTATGAAAATGGATTATTTATGCTACAAATCTTCAATTTACATTTCTTGTCTCCATCCACTCTTGCTTATTTCAGGATTGGCTCCTTATCAACTACTTTCCTTCACTGCCTGCTGATTTAGGATTCAAGTCTCCACTTCAGTCTGTCTGTCTGTCAAGAAAACTCCTTTATACAGAACAGCAGAAGGCAAAATGCACTACATGCAGGACCAAGATACACACAACTGAGTCTGCACTTCAAGGAGTCTGACTCCAAATTCCCTACTCACTGATTTAAATGTTTTCTTTTTAGCCATCATCTTTCCAGCCTTTAAATTGGTGAATTGCAGCCTGGAAACATTAGACATGTTTTCAAGTTCCAGTTATTATTAGTGTCGTTTCTTGTTTGGTTTATACTCTATGCGGCTTCTTTATTTCATTTCTTTTTACTTTGTTTTGACATTTTGGGTTCTGTGTGTTTGCCAATGCTCTGTGGCTGTTTGGGCTCTGGTAATACTCCTGACTAAAAGTCTCATAATTTGTTTGTTGTACCTGTCATACTGTTGAACGCTCCATTCCTTCAGGTGCAATATTTAGTTTTACTGGCTCTTGAATCACATAGCACTGTCTCTGCTCATTGCAAAAATCTTTCAGGTGGCATGAAAGATTAATGCTATCTGTACTGCTTTTCTCCTGTCCTGCAGTGTTGCCACAGTCTTTTGTACTTTTCTTTGTAAGTTATTGACGAAGTTTTCTTTTGGCATCTGTCAGTTATTTCTCCTCTGTTACCATGATCCAAATGTGTAGGAAGTACTTGGCTGTTCTGCTGTTGTCTTAAAGGTTTCTGCAACAGCCAGAATTTCTGGCTGGCAGCCACTTTTAGTACCAAAAGGCATATATCTGTGAGTAGCATTCTTCAAAATAGTGTATTTGATTTGCACTTACTGCCAGAGAATGAAGACAGAGAGTCTGCTGAAACTACGGCTATATGTTTACATTTTAACAAGATGATGTTTGTTTTTCCACATTGATCAACTTCTCATGTAGTTTTTGTCATACAGAATAAAAAAGGCACTAATGGTTTACAAAATCCCTGTTTGCTTCATGATTTTAGAACACATGCAACATCTGCAGCAAGCTCCTTCTGAAATAAAGGCTACACATACAAACCTGGCTTTTGTGCTAGCCAAAGAGTAAGTAAACATAGAAATGACACCATTACAACTTAAGTGAGTTTCCAAACCAGGCTGCTGCTTCTAATGGGACAAGTTGATAGCCCCCCACTTCCTTAAGGTGGCTTAAGGTATCTGACAAGAGGTGATCTTGACAGCAAGGGCAGGTCAGATGGCTGTGTCAGAATGTAATAAAACAAAAGATCTATTTCAGAGTCTGCGTAGATCCTCAGTTGCTCCAATTTGTTACAGTGGCTAATTATACCCCTTCTCATCCTTTCTTCTTGGTTCAGTAGGTGGAGCTGTAACATCTGTTTAATTTATCCTTTCTTCAAAATGTACCACCGCGGGTGCACTCAGTAGTTAAACTTGGGTTTCCCAGCACTGCACGTATTTATCCAGTTTATGTAAGTCAGCATTTTGCATCAGTTTGAAGTTGCGCATGGTAAGGAACCTTGAGATCTGTGCTCAATCTGCTAGTTTGGAAAAGCAGCCGGTAGCTCTGTTTCTAATAGGAAATCTTCAGTTCTTGGATGGCTGTTTTCTACCACTCGAATGTGTTTAGGCTTAATTTTTTGAATTTGTGACTTTGGGGAAAATATATAATCTCTGCTATATTTTTTCATATTTTACCAGTTTCCATTTTGAAACAGACTCTTGAGAGCAATCAGAAATTCATGAAATCATCCCATTAATCATTTTCAGTTTTGGAATTGCTGCAAATCCACTGTCAATTGTTAGTTTTCTTGTTCACAGGTAGCTTGCACTTCATATGTCAATGTAAGCTTTCTAGGTAAATGAACACTATTACATAAATGGACATTTCTGGTAACATTTGTGAAATGGCTCTTAAAATTCAGCACTAGTAGAAACAACAAAAAAGAAACAAAGTGTGATAATGAGACTAATTCACTCTTCAAAAGTTATAGCATCATTTGAGCATTGTTCCATCATCTTAAATCATTCTTAATTCTAAGAACCCTTTCCCATTTCAATTTTCTCTGAAAAGCTCTCTGTGTAAGCAATGAGAATATCCAAATTAGCTTTAAAGATCACAAAACTGCTACTCCTTTTTAGAGGAAGAGCTGTCTTGTAGTGATCTCTTGTATGCAAAATTGTCTTAATGGTGTCTTCTTTCATCTAAGTATTCTCCCTTGAGCAGTTTGAGTGCTTTCTGATTCTCTCTGGTTGCAGCTAAGCATTGAAAGCTGGTGTCAGAAACATCACAAATTTAGGCTCTGTCTCCTTTCAGCTCCAAGAGCTTCTTTGATAGGGAGCCAGTGATATCATTTCACAATACAGGACGTAAACCAGCAGTTCCCAACCTTTTTCTTTTCAATTTTTCAGAGGAGTATTTGATGACCATGACTTTCTCCTTTCTGTTGCTGCCCATGAATATCCCGTGATGCAACAGTCGGGCTGTTGCAGTGAGTATCTGTAGCCTCTGCTCCTCCATCACTGTCTGCTCCTTTGGCGTATGGTACTTCCCAGGAACAGGGGAATGTTTAATAGAGCAGATGAGAGGAATGGAAAGAAGAGGGTCCTTTTAGCATTCATGCCTCCCTTGGTTAACCTCTGTTGTCAACTCAACTTTAATATGCCCAGCTCAACTTTAATATAGCTTGTGTTCTGCTCAGCACTTTACCTTGTATATTGGCTGCATCTCTTGGCTAACTTGTGTATTAGCTAGAAACAACCAATATAAACAAGGATGAGAGAAGAGACAGTCATTTATAAAATACCTGCTTTTCCTTATTAGTTGTTGTACAAGTTTTTCCAGGACCTCTAACAACCTGCAGTTATATATTTTTAGCATGAAATATAGCTGTCTCGTTCAGAAAATGTTATTACCAGCACTAGTGTTATCCAAGAAATTTTATTTGTCTAATCAGCTGTGATGTCAGGTTGAGTTAAGAAATCCATTTGTATGAATCAAAGAGCAGCCTGTGGTGGTGGTGTGTTTGTTCACAATGCTTGTTAGGTTCGCACACTAGGTAGCTTGGATCCAGGCTATGCAGATTATGATTCCATTCTCTCATGAAATTCAAAAAGCCATGAACAGTACTTTTGAAAACGGTATCTCTATGTTGAGAAGAAATTTCTGGTTTCTATATTGGCTTCAGATGACAGATCATGTTTTCAGAACATGTGTTCAGCAATGTTGCTAGCTAGCGCTGAGCATTGCTCAGGTGGTGCTCTGTCAGAAGGTAAATGAGTGATAACTGTAGGAGTACATTGTATGACCCTTCATGTATTAAGAAACGCTGTCTGCTTCTGTTTCAATGGATGTGTAAAATTCACCCTTCATCTTGATCATCATTAGAAAAGGCAAAAAAAAAAAAACAACCAAACACCTCCTTTCCCAAATACCAATGTACTGATGGCAAATGCTATATGCCATAAAATTATAGCCAAGAAGCTAAATTTCTAAGCTTTCTAGAGCAGAGAATTGTGAAACTCTCATTCTGAGACTAAATAAATTACATTTTACTAATTACCTGGCCATCAACCATGTCATCATCTGTATAACTCCAAGTCTGCCATCCCATTCCATGCACTTCCCATTTGGTTTTGTCAAAAAGTTTCAGCAATCAGCACGTTGCTGTGAAGTTTGGGTTTGTATAACAAGTATTTTCAGACTGTTGTAGGTTACGTTATTCTCTATTCTTCCTACGTGTCTATATCTGCAATCAAATTTTATTTTCTCATTGAAAGGGACTTATCGTGAGCCATCTTGTTGTGTGAATGGGGGGATATGCTGCTCAGCCCAATAAATCTCTGAACAATTTTTGCTGTTGTTGTGTGAACGACTGTGACTCTGAGCCTGAGCCCTCCCAGAGCTGATGCTCCAAGCTCCTCCAGCCCTGAGATGCCTGGAGGTGGAAAAGCACTCAGCATCTCACAGATACCAAACTAATGATTTTTAAATCTAACGTTGCCGAGTTGTCATGGCAATTATCAAATGAATATTCGTATTTCCTGTAAGGCTGTGTTTTATAATGCTCTAAGCTACACTTTATGCAGGCTGTCTAGGCAAACAAGCTGTAAAAGAAGTTAAGTGCCAATTAAAGTGCTGGCAAGAATGCTACTTGCATGAACTCCATGAGGCACTGTAGCATGCATAATCTCGCTTAAAAAAATTCTGAAATGTTGCCTTTCACTTGCAATATGATATAGCAACACCTGGTTTATAGGACCCGGGGTATTCCTATGGAAGATCAACAATGACATACTTTTGGATAAGTACCCAGTTTTTTTTCGTGTAATTGTTCCAAACAATGTTAAAAACAAACTGCATGAAAGGTTTTTGAAATGCATCCTGCTGGTAGTATTAGACAATAGAGAAAATCAACTGAACAGTTTGCTCTTAATTACATATTTGCTGTTAGGAAGTACTTAGCAGCTTCGGTATTGAATTCTATTAGTCCTCCAAGATCAGGTTGTAAGCAGAGTATATGATTATATTTCCCTAAGTTTACATATACTGCATTTTTTTAATATTTCTTTATGTTTAAATCAGCTGTACTGTGGAAAGAACAAATAAATGTTTTTTCTTCTTTACTTATTTGCACAGTCTTCTTTCTCTCTCCATGAACACAGGTGAATTCTGTCTAGTTTCTCCAGGGGGTGATAACAGCAAGGCTCCTTCCCTCTGGAAGCATATACAGTTTTGCTGGAGTAATAAAAACACTGAAGAGGAGAACCAGCAGCAGGCGCAGGTAAGTAAATTGCTAGCCATTGAACCTAAATTACTTTCTAAATTATTATTTTGACAGTGTGCACATTTTGTAGTGTTGGAAGGAACCTGTAGTCTTTAACTATGTTCCACTGTTTGCATTATTTCTAGTTGTCAAATCCAGTGATTTTATTTGTTTTTTTTTTGTTTTTTTTTTTCTCATCTCACAGGACTGACTTTGATTTCATTTTTTTACTTCTGTGGAAAGCAAAGCAGTAAAATCTTTCTCAAGAGCCCTGCGTCTGGGTATCCTGCTGCTGCCTTCAGCCTCATCTCCTGAGCAGCAGAAGTGGTGGCTTCGCAGCCTTTTCAAGTTGTTCAGATTCTGTTTCCAGTGTGCAATGTTATTTAGAAGCGTGAAGACAGCTCTGAGAAAAGAAACAGTTTTGCATCAACATGGGGCACAGCTCATATTCTCTTTTACATGAGCTTGTAACTAGCTCTATTTTACCTGATGTAAATGTAAATAGATTTTCCTCCTTGTTCCCGTGATGAAGTATCTTCAAGCTGTGCTACTGAACGGTCAGGAAACACAGAATGAATGTGTTAGGAGCTTGAAGAAGAAGGAAAAGTTGCAAAATATGAAAAGAAAGGTTCCCCTATGGACAGAAAGGAAAGTGCTGTAGGATGGATGCATGCAATACATACCTGTAATCAGTTTCTAAAACACAGTATCTTTACTGGAAATGTTAGAGGGAAAATAACCCATTCCTGGGAAATGAAACCAAACTCATGTCAAAGCAGATGTTCTGAAGCATGTAGTTGAGCACACTTAGGACAGCAAGGGTGTTGCACAGGAGGCTGCCATCAGTCTGTAAATGGTGTGTTTCTCTAGAGGAATATTCCACTGTTCCAAGCCAGCTAGTATTTTCCTGTGCTGATTTCTGCATGTAGCATTCTGTTGTTTCATTGCAGTTTTCTGTTAAAAACAGTTGGGCTCATAACCCTTCCTCAGGGGAATGTTGTTATCCACTTGGTGTATTCCTTTGGAAAGAGGGAAAGAAATGCAGAATTTGGATTGTTATCGTTGGCCAGATTGCCTTCAGAGCTGATTTGGGATATCACTGGGAATACTTCCAGAGAAAACCAGTATTCTGCTGTATTCCATAGGTACTCTCTATAATTTTATCTCCTCAGCACAGTGTGGCTCTGTGATCTTTGAAACAATACTGGAAATTAAAGCTACCTCAGTTATCTATTTTGAAAAGTCTTCTCTTCAAGCAAAGTGGCTTGTCCATCATCATGATTGCAGTAGGAAATACTTCTGCAGCTCATATTCACCACATCAGCTGCCAGTGTTCAACAGTCCCTGACTTTCTGATGTCAGAAAGGAGGAGTTTATAAATGGATTGTGCTATTATTTTGTCTTTCACATTTACAGCAGTTCAATGACAATGATTGAATTCCAACCAAACACAGTCTGACAATTGCTATGAGACTGGAAGTATGGTAAGTATAAAAAATATAAAGAAAAGTAGCAGTATGTTCAGTTTTCAACCAATGAACAATTAAATATAGCCAAAGAACCTCTCTGAAATATCTGGAAGAAACAGAAAGAACAGAAATCAGGATGGATTTTTTATTTATAGCAGTGGCCACATGAACAGAACATGTGGAAAAACAAGAACCAAAGAAGGAGAAAAGGAGCCATGATGGTAAAAGGTATTCTTTTTTTCGTCACCTTAAACACAGAGTTGGTACTCTTGTTTGTGTTATTTCACATCGCAGCTTTTGCCCCTGCTGGCTCAGGGCTGGGCTCACAGATCTGTTACCCTCCTGGACTCTGAAGGTTTTTCCCTGTCTCTTGCCAGTGGTGTGTTTCAGGTTCTTGCCTTGCTCGCTGCTTTCAGTTCCATCTGGTTTTTCTCTGGTTTCTCTGGCACAGTGGGTGTGATGGGTGTGCCTTTAGAAGTAATGAGGCCAGCTTGTGAGAAGCAGGCTTGCATCCACACAATGTAGTCTGGTCCAGTGTTGGAATAATATAGCAATATGCAAGCCTTTACTGCTTGGCAGAGCTGGACAGGGCTTGTTCAGTGCTTGTTTTTTATGATTTGTTTTCTTTTCTCCTGTCTGGATGTCATTGTTAATCCATCAGCAAAGTAGAAGACGAGCACAGGGAGAGGACACAGGTCATAAACAGCACCAGGGGCAATTTCTGGAGTCTTTTTGCATGCTGAGAATAAATAGTAACCAGATAGTTGAGGCTCTTGCTGTGCAGCTGTCCCTTTGTCTGGGAATGGATGTGGGAACAAAATCAGTAAATGCCCCGACACCGCTTAAGGAGCATATTTTGTGTAGATGGATATTAGCAATTCAAAAGCTAAATTGAGATCTAAACAAGGTCATTTGCTTGTCAGACTATTTTTGACATAGGCAGTGTTTAATTCAAGAAGCAGAAGGGCTGGGATAAACAAATGCAGTCCTAAATGGGCAGCTGGCTGCAGAGTGGTTTTGAAGCAGATTGATCCTAAAGGGCAGCCTGCTTGTACCCTCACCCAGATCAGAAAGGCAAAGGCCAATCCTTTCCATGGTGTTTTAGTTGTGGGGAACTCAAGCCGTTTCTGTTCCACTAGCAAGGAAAGATAAAAGGAAAAGCAAATACAAGAGATGTTAATTTAAAATACAACATGCATATATGTGTACGCAAATTAGATGAGACCCTTGGTGTGTCCAAGTTAAAGCAATGTTTTAAAAACTGTAATCTGCTTTTTGTAGAATTCCTTAATTCCAGTGTGTATTACAAAATATATGCAGCGTGAATAAAACCCGAGCTTCCTTATAATTCAGTAGTGAAAGTAATAAACAATCTTAGTATGAATTTCTTATAAATAAAACATGATAGCCTGTTTTGTTTAGGGTCTTTAAGTCCTCAGTTCTGTGCTGGTAGCTGGAATAATTAGGTTTTGAAAGTAGAGACTTTTTTCAGTATAAACATGAGCTTGTCACTTTGAAAGAGGAACTGTCCTCCATTTTGGAGATTTTTTTTCATAGTTTTGGCCTCTGATATGATCCAATACTGCTTCTTTCCCTCTAGTTTCCTCATCCTACACTAACCAGTGTGCTTTGGGGAGTGGTTTTTGACTGCCTCTGGAGAGCTGCCATTTTTTTTGTAATTTATTTTGAGTTTGCTTGATAACACTCCCTTTTCTACCGTGGGCAGGGTGGTGTTCCAATACTTTAAAGAAAATACTTTAAAGAAGCATCAAATAGATCAGGTCTGAACTGATCTCCCCTCTCTCTCTATAAAACTCCCCTATCTCTCTGTAAAAAGCTTTTTGACCAATTCCCTCCTGAAATACCATGGAAGCAGTGTTTGACAGATTTGTGTAGCTATAAAAGCTCTGAATTGCTGTTATTACGCAGATCTCTGGAAATATATTGATAGGCTTAAGTCTCCATATTTCTGATTCTACCTGCTAAACACAGCCTCAGTCTATCTCTGTCTAAATACCTTTCTCTTTGTTGCCTGATTCATCTGTTAATTTGACTCTGGAAGGTAAAATAAATAAATAAATAATGTTGCTTTTTCCTCAGCTCTAGCTGGCAAGGAAGAGTAGAAGGAATAAAATACTTCCAGTGTCCACTGTATGAATGCTACTCATAAAAGGTCAAGTGGGGTATGTGCTCTCTTTATTCATTTTTCAAAATGGGGAGTCATCCAAACATGAGCTGAAGCAGACAGTCTCCTGGATAATAGGAGCCATTGGTTTGATTTTGAATAGTATTTTACACAACTTTCTCTCTTTCTCTGTGTTTCTTATTGCTAAAGTATTTAACTTAAAAGCGCTTAGACATGGATGGACAACTTGCTCAAATTTGGGAACTTTGGGACTTTGAACTTTGTCTTTGGGGACAAAAATGAATCCAACATTCAAGGAGTCCTCTGGTGACTTCATCACAGCTCTGAACATTGTTTAAGAGGTGAGATGTCTGGGCCAAGCACATGTTGTAATGTCTGCAGCAGTAACATGAGGTGGAGAACAACGTGCTGCTCACCCCCTTAGTCTACCAGTGCCTATAGGTGTGATGATACTGTTTTTTTTGTTTGCTGCTTAGTCATTCAGAAAGCTAGTGATAGCTGCTGACTCGCCTGGATGGTGTAAAAGGTAATTTGGCTCTGGTAAATCATGAAATTAAGAAGTCCATGACTGTACATATTCTTGGAGGCACATAGCTCTCCTGGTCAGATGTGAGGCTGCACATGAGAATGTTTCAAGAGAAGAAAGACTGGATCAGGGCATGGATCTATTCATTCTTTTGCTGTCATGAGAGTGATGATGCCAGAGGAGAGAATCCTTGCTTTCCCACAAGTGTATGGGGCCCTTGGGGCCCTAAGACTGAAGGTTTTGGGAATAAGAGGGAATCGTACAGATTGAATTTTTAGTCAGAAGGAATGTAATATTGTTCATTTCTCTTAACTTAGGAGTCTCTTGAAGTAATACTTATACATTTGCTAACATACTTTACACCTTGATTGCTCTTTATTCATTGTACATCTAAATTTCCTTTACACAGTGAATTCTATGGAAGCTGGATGCTTTCTTTTTGTTCTTTTTGTACCTTTAAATGTGGCTTTGCCCAGCTGAGTCTGCATTTCTTCAACTGACCATGGACAAGCTGTTATAGTGCTGGGGCCTCCAGGCTGTGCTCCATCTCATTGTCCCACGTGTGCGCTTCTCCAGACCACATCCTGTGTCTGTATTTATTAAGGCCTCTTGTACCATAACATACCTTTTATGGAGAAGCTCTCCATAAAACTGTGCTTATATCATACAAACATGAGAAGGAAAAAAAAGAAAGAAAAAAAACATTAGGTATAACCACCAGTTATAAGAAAAATTGTTATTATAGCTAAGTTAGGAATTTGCCGGCATGTCAAGAGAAACTGAGACAGAGTGAGCTTGACAAGCTGTACTCCTGAATCCCTGGAAACTCAGCAGGACACCTGTGGGCCTGTACTAGCAATGTCAGGACAGTGTTTACTGGGCTGCAGCACTACATTGTACCAGCTACGAAGTGGTGTATGTTGTCTTCCTTTGTGAAGTGATTCCAGTTAGCAGCATAACTCTTGGAAACGTTTTGGAACTGCTTCATATGGTTTTTCATATGTCAAGTCATTTCTATGGCATCATATTTTCTTTCCTAGTAGGATTTGTGGTCCCAGTTCCTGACTTTTTAATGAGAGGGCTGCCAGCAGGATTTAGTCATCCCTGCTGCAGATGGGCAATCATCTCTTACGCTTCATGTCACGGCCCTTCGTCTGTCCTGACTGCTATCTATTCTGGGATCAGGCAGTACCTTGGGGAATATGATAAAAAGCAGGCTCATTTGTGATGGGCTATGCTGAAGGTTAGCTTAGGTTTTCAAAGGCAGCAATTGCCTGAAGCCCTCTTACTATGTTAAATTAATACACATCAAGGAAAAATGCAGTTAGGCACAGAATGCAGAAGAAGCAAAGAAATATGGCACAATATTAAACATCAGGTCCCATGCCTACCATAATGTAATCACTTTGATTTGCCTTTTCTGGGTTCGCTCCTTGTTCTGTGATTTACATGGAGAGTTCAGAGATATTCCTCCAGTGTAAAAACCAAACAGCCTAGGGGAATTTGGTCTTGTGCAAAAAATCCCTGTGCCCAGAGGAACAGTAACCTTCCAATTAATCATTTGAATCTTTTTGATGTAGTGAAAGATTTGGCACTGAGTTAACACCTTCAGTGCTGCTACAGTAATCAATCACACTGAGAAAAAGTACGTATAGAAAGCAAAGGTTGAATGTCTTCTATGTGTGTTTGTGAGTTGCTCTATTATTGTGCAATTATATAATTATGTATAGAGAGTTGTAGAGAGTAGCATTGTAGAGAGTAGTTGTAGGGAGTAAAATACTTAGCATCTTTTTTGTGAACCACAGCTGGCAACTACTTCCCCAGTATATTTCATTATCTCCGTCTCACGGCAGTAGATGTTTCTGCTCACCTCTGGCAAGCTCACACCAAACATTGGTGATATACTTCTACTGGACCCAGCCTAATAGTGAAAATAGCTTTTGAGTAACCATGCTTTTCCCAACAAGTTTGTGGTTTCAATTTCACCAGATTCTTCAGATAGCAAGAGTATGTCTGACTGAGAGCCTGGCAGCAAGTGGGTCTCAACAAAATACTGATTCTGCGTGGGAAACATTGGAGAAATCCATGGACATTTGGATGCAAAACTGTGTTGGGGAACCATACGCCGGTACCATTCTACTCCAAAAAGTAACTCGGTGAAAGAAATTGCACCCTGTTTCCAATTGATCCACATACCTGACAGGCAAGAGCTCCAGGTAGGCAGCTGTGCTCAGGCAGACTTGTCGGTGTATGAATTTAGCACAGTCTTTATGAAGGTGTTTTTTAACCTGCCCTTAGTGCAATTAACAACAGGCCTTTTTTGTGGATCTGGTAAGCATTGCTAGCATTCATCCAGGGCCTTTCTCTGAGAGCTGCATGCTTCCTAAAGCTATCATCTAAAGTTAGTAATACCTATTTTGTCATTCAGTGTTAACAGAAATGATATAGAGTACATTCAGAGACGGAGCTATTGTATAAGATAAAGCCTCTCTTATAGTCACTCTGGAGAATAATCCCCTATGAGAACAGTTCCTTATTTTAAATCGTTAAAGATAGCTTCTTGCTAGGGAATGCAAGATGCTGATAACACATTATATTCCTCTCTTGCTGCTTCTTTCTCTTGTATTGATTGGTCCTATGCTGGAGGTATGATAGACCATGGGGCTCATCTTACATTCCTCTGGGTGCTTTGAAGAAATGACTACATTTGTCAAATAACAAAAAAGAATCACCTGAGACAGTCAATTGAGACACATCAAAAGCAACTTGAAAACCTGCAGTCCCAGGTCAGCTGTTACTTGAAGACTATGCAGCTTCCTTTTGAGTCATTTCTCGTTTGTCTTTGTATAAAGTTCTGTTGAGAGAAGTCTGCATTTGAGAACTACTCATGGGTATTTCTGTTGTTTTTTTGGTTTTTTTTTTGGGGGGGGGGGGGGCCGGGGGATGGAGGGACTCCTTTCCTTCTTATCACCTGGGGAAAAAAGGAAAAAAAATAACATGATTAAAGGGATTGGGTACTTGTTCTATGGCAGGTATGGGGCTTGCCTTGACTAGTTAAAGATTCTTTGCTTGAAATTCCTTTATAAGTAATAAAAAAATCAAAGCAACTAAAGTCTCAGAATTGGTCTTTACAGGCAAGTTTTTCCTAAATGCTCTTAAAAACTATATCCCGTCATCCACTGAAATAGTGATCAGGAGTGCAAGGGTAAGTCAGTCTTTCAGGATCTTGAGTCTAAACCCAAAATATGGTTTCCAAGGAGAAATCCTGCAACAGTAATTATTATTAGATTATAATTAGATCAAGGGGCAGGGGCTAAAGAAATATCTGCTGGTAAGAAAAACTTGCATTACAAAACTGTAATTCTGCACTTCTTTGGATGACAATTTTTTTTTTTTTTTTTGTCAGAATTGAGCTTCTAATAGTGTGAACAAGGACATCTGCTTATTTCTGCCATATTTTTGGAACAGAAAATTACTATTTGGTCAAGTTATCACTTAATGATATATAATATTCTTTTCATCCTGATTTCCAATTCTGTCTTGTCCTGTGTGAAAAAGAAATCATAAGACCTTCCATAAATATATTTAATGGCTAATTTCCATCCTAACAATTGTAATTTTCCTTATTAAGTAGCTTTGCAGTAGTAGTAGTTCTAAAAATTACTTGGCACGTTCATTTTAGATCATCTAATCCCATCTTTCTTTCACATCATGCCCTTCTTCAAATTATTCTACTGTTTTCCAAGAAAGGGCTTGATAGAGTTGTTATTAATGATCAGAAATTAACACACAATGCCTCACATGTTGTGATTTCTATCCCTTGCTCTGTAGTCATAAAAGAAAGGAAATGGTTTCATTATTTATTTGTTCTTATATTGTTACATATATGTTAAACTATTTTCTGTAATTCTCATAGAACCAGTTTTCTACATCATAATTTGCCTAAAATGCAGTGGACATGATTAGCAGTTGTGTGGTTTACTCTCAGGCTGAGTAGCGTGGCAGCCCACACACCCTGCTACCTCATCCCCAGCCTAGGCTGCCACCCCAAGGGAAACACTGGGGCACAAGAGAGCTGTCTATAGGAATCTCCTTCTCAAAGCTAGACCCCTTCTACCTGAGAGTACCCAGAGTGGCAAGTACATATTTCATAGCAAAGTACATAGTTTCAATAGCCTTATTCCATTGCTCGGGTGTCTTCCTGCTTTATCACTTTGGGCATGTGTAGTAGTTGAAGACAATGAAATTTTTATGGGATTTCTAAGATATCTGCTTTCTTTCCAGCTCTGTGATGAAGTGAGAATTAAGCAGCATGCCATCCTGCCACCACTTCCTCACCAATTGACAGGCGTTTCGCATGGTAGGGCTTGATGTGTTCTCATAGTCATTTTCTGTCCCTTCTCTATTTCCTCTGTTAAATGTCGCTTCAGAAGACAAGCTTTCTCTTCTAAATCACAGTGTCTCTGTTTTACTGTTATATGCAGCTTAGGCTGGTCCTGGTTCTCCCTTTTTTTCTGTCTGCAGTTTCACAGTCAGTGTGTTTTATAGCTCTGTAATAGCAGCTGTTTATCTGTTGCTTCATTGGATTTTCTATTTCAATCACTACATTTTGGGGAATCTGGTTTTGTCTGGGATTTCACCAGTGTGTTCTGGGCAGTATCTTTTTAGTTCACTAAGGATTTCTGCCACAGTTTCTTCAGGAATCAGATGCTTGGACATGTATCATCTCTTGCAAAAACCACCAGGCTGCAGAAGGATGGTCAGCAGTTATGTAGACTTTTTTTCAAATCTGTTTTTAAAGGCAAAACTGAAATAACTTTAACTGAAGAAAAGCAAATCACGCACATCTCTTGTAATGTCCTTTGTATGTTTTGTAATAATCTTCCCTTCATCTCATCCAGTAATTTTGATCCCTTTATGTTTCTTCTCTGGATGTTTACAAACAAGTTCCTTAACATGAAACATTGAAGGTTTATATTTCTCTCTCTTCTAGAATAAATTTTCTCCCTATAAAACTGAAAATTTACCAGAAATTACCACCAAATTAACTTACAAATTAAGTTATTTGTGGTTCAGCATTTCTCATTTAATGTGACACACATAATTTCTCTTCTTAATATGATTTTCTTAATATTTCTTTTAGGAATGTTGTTTTTCAGCAACTTAAAAAGTAGGATTGCCTATGTCTTCATCTAGTTTTCTTTGGTTATTCCAATTTTATTTATGCTTTTTTATCTTCTTTACATTTTCTTAATCTTGGTAGTTAGTTGCCTGAAAACATAACTTATGTTCTATTTAGCCCAATATTTGCAGATCTTACTTAAACCTGCTCCATTTTATCCTAAGCTGTTATTTTTCCCAAAAGGAATACAAGACAAAGATTTGCAAAAATCTAGAGTTTAAAACATAGAGAATTAGCTTACTGTTCATAAATGCACAAAAAAAAAATATCATTAGTGACCATGCAAAAGCTATCACAGAAATACTGAAATTTTACTTTGAACTTGAATTGAATACCCGTTGTGTGACTGAACGACTTGCTTTCTCTTCTTGTAAAATCTCTCATTTGTCTAAACTATTGACTTTTCATCTGTAGATGATCTCCATGAAGCTCCGAAAACTGCCCCTGTAGAAAGAACACAGGCATTAGGAGTCGTTTCTGCCCAACTGAAAAGCTTCCAGCCATGAGGCTTTTCCTTTTGTTCTTCAGACACTTTTTCTTATCCTCTATTCTATTGTACCTTCTGTTTCTTTGATTGAAATCCCTTGCCAAATGCTTTTGAAAATCTAAATATATCTTCTAAATTTTCCTTTTATCTTGGTAGCAATACATTCAAAGGACACTTGCAGGTAAGATGAATGTCCAAACAAGTATGCAGTAACACTTCAGTGGAATTTAGAAAAATGTACATGTTATTGTGGTAGCTTTACAGATTTATTTATACTATTTATACTGCTGTATTTTCAAAAGAAGTATAGAATAGTAGAATGGCTTAGGTTGGAAGGCACATAAAAGCTCTTCCAGCTCCAATCCGGGCTGCCCCCCACCAGCTCAGGCTGCCCAGGGCCATATCCAACCTGGCCTTGAGTGCCTCCAGGGATGGGGCACCACAACTTCTCTGGGCAGCCTGTGCCAAGGCCTCACCACTCTCCGAGTAAATAATTTTTTCTGAGTATCTAACTTAAATCTCCCCTCTTTTAATTTAAAACCATTCTTCCTTGTCCTATCACTGCCAAACAGTGTAAAAAGTTGGTTTCCTTCCTGCTTATAAGCTTCTTTAAAGTCTTGGAAGGCCACAAAGATGTTTTCCTGGAGGATTCTCTTCTACAGGCTGATCATTACTCTCACTGGAGTTAGTTTGTTCAAAATTTTCTCTCAAACTCTATAGAATCTTTCAAGGATTTTGGATAATTTTTGCACATAAGTTGCCTAGCAAAAAATAATAAATGAATTCCTGACATTTTGTGATAGCACAATGCAGTAAAAAGATGCATAATATGTATTTTTCAAGTGAAGAACAGAGAGAGAGAAAAAGAATAGCGCATCACTGAACTGATACTAACGTTTTGCAGGTTGAGGAAGAATAAGTGTTTTCATATTTTTGAGAATTTGCATTTGTTTTCATACATAAGCTTACCAATTATGGAGTTTATTAAAATTTCATATAGAAAATATTCATCTGCAAGTAGCTGAAAGCTGTTATGGAATTACATATGGCTTGTCCTTTTCTCCCTTCAGCACTTACTTCTGTGCACAGAATACAAGTCAAGATAGACTGAACCACTTTATGAGCTTAGGTGCAGTGATTCAGTTTCATTTATGAATTCAGTGTAGCTGTTTATTCCATCAGGAAGATCCCAACACAATTCTATGCTGAATGATCACCTTTATAAAACTTATAATTCCTTGTGTTAAGAATATTATGCATTATAATTTGTTCATAAAGCATACTTCATACGTGTTGGAAATGTATGTTAAGTAGCTTTTAAAGAAATACAAGGTGAGATGTAATTTGGATCATGAAATAGTGTTTTCTATAATAATTTGTTATGCAGACTGCTCGTATTAAAATTGACTGACTTGCTATTCCCCTATTTTAAATATTCTTTAATTTTCTTTAAGAAATATAAATTTGCATTCTGCTCATCATTCAGTCTTCTGAAGAGTCTGGTTAATACCAATCCTCAGAATTTTTGAAAATTAAAAAATTAAGGGTCACTTCACGCTCCCTGAGTTTCTTAAAACCAGAAAATACAGATGTTTCAGGTGTTAAGTGATGTCCATTAATACTCTCCTGAATTATTAACAAATGGTAAAAATGACCTGTATGCAGCTTGTATAGTTGCCCCTATGTAGATGCTGGGGGATCTCTTATGCTGTGACATGAATGTGCCCAGGATTCATTATCTTAGAAATGGAATAAATGTCCACAGGTGAGGTGATTTTTTTTTCTCTACAGACTCATCAGGGTAGTCAGAAGTCATTTAGAAAGGGGCTTTGCAGCTTATTTCTGTAGTTTCTTTGTGTCCCTGCATCACGGGGCGTACTGAATCTGAACATTACCTTAAAATGTCAGGCGCTAGCCTTTTGAGCAGTCATCCAGTGAGCCTCTACCATTTAACGACAGCCTAAATTTAAGCATCTTTTTAACAGAGACCTTGTTTGTTAGGACCACGGGAGGCAGGAGAGCCCATGGAACAAATGTGAGTATTGTATTATTAACTTTCCTGCTTTCTGACAAACACAGAAAAGACTGTGATAAGAGTAACAAATAGTCTGTGCACACAGACTTTTTTTGGCTTTGCATCATACAAATTAGAAGTTTGCCCCAGAAAAAAAGTCACATTTCATTTTATGGAGGAGGTCTGCATGCTTGAAAGCCCAT